AGGGAAAGGCAGAAAATAAACATGTAAACAATATAATATATTCAGATAGAAAATATTGAACATTGAATAAAATAATAAATGGCCAGGGGATAGTGATGGGAGGAGCTACTTTAATTAGAGCAGACATTTTAAACCTTGGCTGCACATTAGAATCACTTGAGAGTGTTTACAATTCCCAATACCTGGACTATACTCCAGACTAATTAAACTGGAGTCTTCAGGAAGGGGACCCGGGGGTTGGTAATTTTTAAGACTCCCCCTAGGATTTCCAAGGTGTAGCCAAGGTTGAGAACCACTCCACTAGAGTGACGAATATTGAGAAATACGTAGGCTAGGAGGACTTTAAGCGGGGGAACAGCAGATGCAAAGGCCCTGGAGATGGGCCTGACTCGCACATTTGAGGGAAGAATGGCAGTAGCCAGCGGTTGGGGATGAGGCAGGCTTCAGCCATGAGATGGACTTCCAGCTTAGTACAGAGCGGGGACTGCTGGGCACTTATGCAGGGGAGGGGTAGGACCTGCTTTAGACTCAGATTGGGCTGGTCTTGCTTTTCTGCACATGAACTGGTAAAAGCTCAAACACAGTGGTTTTTCCTCAGGCCACAGTGTCTATGTTAGTGGGAGCAGGAACCACAACTCTCCTGTGACATCACAGAACGTGCAACAGTGATGTCACTGTTGTTCGAATCTGGTGTCTTCCTTCCGGTCTGACCCAAATTAGCAAGGGTTCCGCCCTCTTCCAGGCAGTCTCCTGGGCCCGCCACTGGCTGGGTGTCCCTACTTTGGGCTTCCACAGCATGCTATGCTTCCTTCTCTATTAGAACTCATCTCAACATACCACTATTTTCTCTTTATTTCTTGTCATTTTTCTGCCCATGCCCAAACTGTGAGCTAAAGGCAGGGACCATGATTTATTGGACGTTTTTTAAAATCCCCATCAGCTAACACATTGTTGACATTTAATAAATGTTTGTCAAATGATTGATTTAGAAAATATTCTAAATCCAATGATTTACTCTCTAGAATATGTAAGTTTTGGATCGTGTTCTGAGTCAACAGACATTGGCAGTTTTTCTTCATCTTAAAAAATATTGGTTTGGTTTGTAGCAAGTTAGTAAAAGGAAGAAAAAAATTAAATGGATGAAATTTGAAGTTCAACAAGTTAAGATTTTGTCCTAGTTTCAGTGTTATGGTTCAGATTAAATGTCTTCCTTAAAGGGCCCATGTGCGCCCCCCTCCCAATCTCCCAGAAGCCACCTGGACTCCTGGCCCTGGGGGGCCCCAAAGCTAGGACATATTAAAAGCACAGGATCCAACAGACCACCATAGCTGGCAAGGAGCCAAACACATGCAAACCCGAGATGGAGTTTTAAAGGGCTGTTGAGATTAACTCCCTTGAAGAAGAATAAAAACCAGATGCTTCCCCCAGGCAAAAGAGCGTGCTAAGGACGACAGCGGAATAGGCAGTATGGAGGGCAGTCTGGGCTTCATGAGCGATGCTTACCCACCGTTAACCCCAACAAACTGAAGGTTCTTTTTGGTCCCATTACCTCCTGCACGGAAGCCATAGTCTTTCTTTTTCATTATGGATTTAAGGCTGGCCGACGGGGACATCTCTAGGCAGACACAACATCACAGGTTAGAAAGATCTTGGCGATGCCCCAGAATGCAGTAAAACCAAGACTCTTGCTTTGAGAGGATACAGATTGAAGGCGTGCGAAGAGGCAGAAAGAGATGGGAGACTACATAAAGTAAATCAAATATTTTGAGGATCTTTAAGGAGGCCCAGGCTTCTGGTCAGTGCCAGCCAAATTGTCCCTGGTCACAAAGCCGCTCTATGTGGGAGCTCTCTTTTGGAAGAGGCATGAGGTGTGGGTGCCGATGTTGTCCATATCTTACAGCTGGAAAATCTGAGGCTCAGACTTTCTCAGTGAATGGCAGAGCAGGAGTGAGTGAGTTCTAAGTGAAGAACTTAGTTCACGTGACTCCTGGTCCCACCTCTGCCAGTCGACACTTTGCAATATGTGATAGGCACAGAAGACACATGAACAAGAGAACAAGTCTTCTTTGGCTGTACTCAAAGGTACAGGAGGCATTTCCCAACAAGCAAGATTAGAACAGCACTAAAATAATGAGAAAGCAGCCAATTTGCCATCTGTGTCAGGAAGCAGACTCTCACGTCGTTCATTGAGCAAAGCAAAATATGGTTCTGCTTTACTCAACAGTGTATGACTGTTACAAGAGGAAGTGCTGCTCAGCCAAAGGATCAGCTTCCACATGTGAGTACCACTCAGTTTCTCCCTCTCTCACACACACAGAAAATATTCAGTAAGTATTTAAGATCTCAATACAAAACTAGGCTAGGAAAAAAACTCTAATGTGCACGAACCAGAGAGCACCTCAGGAATGCAAGAGCACAGGGCAACAATGAAGAGAGGCTGAAGTTTACAGCACACACAGCCAGGGCCATTGCTGGTCATGGCTGTTGCCTTTGTGCAAATGCAAATGAGAAATCGGCACCCTTCTGGGTAAACACAGTGCTGCAGGCTTGGCAGGTGAGGAGTGGGCTAGATTTAAGCTCTAATGTACCCTCCCTAGCTGGCATCTCTGTGCCCTGCGCTATATTTGTGCAGCTATACATGGTGGCCCTGCAGTCAATCTTAACCTTAGAGCAAGGACACGAGTAGGGGCACAGAGCCTCCACTGTTACATCAATCAGTTTTTATTACACTGCATTCTTGGAAGTGCTTAAATCTTTTTAAAACATATTCATGCAATTAAAACTCCCTTTCCTTTTGACTTGTGACATAAAGGAGAAATGGTTCCATCTCAGGCACTGGTATTTACCCACTGGTGGAGGGGAAGAGGCGGCCGGGGACTCCCTCTGGGGTGGAGTCTGAGCCGAGTAGGCAGACAGCAGCAGGTTGAGGGAGCTCAGGAGCTGGCGCTGGATGCTGCTGAGCTTGGAGGCAGGCTGCTTGATGGCGCTGGCCAACTCTGGGTACCCATGCTCCAGGCAGCTCCACTGCTCCTGCAGGAGCTCCTGGATCTTCTTAACATATTGCCCAATACTGGCATCTGTGGGTGAGCTCGGTGGCCTTCCGGGACACTCCCTCCCCGGCAGCTCTGAACTCGCCTCCTCCTTCCCTGCTGGGGGAGCCTTTATATCGCTGCTCCATGAAGAGCTTCCTGCTCCCCAGACCGGACCCTCGGCTCCCAACTGAGAGTCTCCCTCTGGCTCAAAGCCTGCTTCTTCAATCCTGAGCTCAGTGGAGAGGCAGCTATGTAAAGAGGAGGTGAGGATCATCTCGGGTCCCTGTGGCAGTGACAGCTGGGGTGGTGGCACCAATTCTGCTGGGCTCTGATCTCTCTGTTTGTGACTGTCCTGCCCACATAGGAAGCCATTCTTTTCTCCTCTGGCCCCCCAGCTTTCAGATCCCATGCTGCTCAGAAGGTTGACCCCAATGCTCTTGTCACACAATTCCCTGGTCAATAGTCCATGGAGTGGGTCAGTGTTGACCATAGCGTCAATTTGGCCCTGGGCGTCTTTGGTGTTCTCACGGCTAAGCTTTTCTGCCAATTGAGCCACAGTGCACTCTAGCTCTTGAATCCTCTGCCCCTTAGCCTTGATTTCCTCCTCTTGCTGCTGGAGGGCAGCTCTGACGTGGGCCAGTTCCTCAGTTCTCCCAGACAACTCGCCCTCAAGGTCCGAGAGCTGCTGCTTCAGACTGGAAATGCTGCCAGGATCCATCGTGGCAAGGCCCAGGCTTTCTTCTGTGACCCGGATGCCAATGCTTCTCACATCTACCTCTACCGGTGGTGGGGGTGGGATCTCACTGATAATGAGCTCTATTTCTTCTAAGGGGAGCTCATTCTCAGGGATGGGTGATGGCAGAGGTGGGGGGCTTGGTGTTGGCAAGCCAGAGGTAACCACCACCTCTGCTTCTCTGGTTTCGTGTTCATCTTCTGCATCTTCCAGAACTACAAGTGCATTCTGGGATGAGAAAGGAGGACTTGGGAGAGAGAGGTGGTGTGGAGCCTCTTCTTCAGCCTCTGGAGGTTTGGTCCCCTCCCGGACCAGCTCCGGAATCCCTGGTACCAGGTCTCCAAACTCTCTGACTTTTGACTGGGTTGCTGCTCGTGGGGAGGAGTTGTGAAAACCTGCAAATCCTTCAGCAGGGCCAAAAGTGCCATCACTGACACTGTCTTCACCCTCAAGTGGAGGGAGAGCGGGAGAAGTGGGGGGACCTGAGTTTAGGTTGGGGTCCTCTGAGGCCCTGTTTTGCAGCAGTGTGGCTGGCATGCTGGATGCTCTCAGAAGCTGGGGCCGCCCATACCCAGAGCCGAGCTCAGCCTCCCTGGATGCAGCGGCCTCCAGCTGTCTGGCGGTCTCTCCCAACAGAGCCTTCCTGTGGTAGCTCACCTCACTCCCACTGGCAGAGGCTTGGGGGCCACCAGGCGGCAGTGACTGCGCTCGCTCTTCTGCCCCGAGCGACACCTTCCTTGGCACCACTGGGAACCAGTTTTGGTGGGGAAGAGCAGCATGGGGGCGAGCCCCGCTGTCAGGAAGGCTGAAGTTTCGGGGCAAAGTGCTAAACTTGGCCTGCTTGGCCCTTCGGTGGATAGGAATCCTTTTGATGGTGTGTCCCTTCTCAATATCATCCACATATTTGAGGAAGTCCAGATCTAAATGAAAACCATATGGGGTCTCCACGGAGTAGGGGTGGCTCTTTGGAGGGTCTTTCTCTTCATCTCCCTGAGAGGACTGGTCTTTGGCTGAGAGACAGAAGACATGTGAAAAAGAAGCACAATGTTAGTAAGAATTACAGGGTGGTGAAGCCTAATGTCTGTGATTTTGACTTAACGCTCTCTTGTGAGACTTCTAAATGTTCTAGCCTCTAAACTATCTGAGATGCTCACAGTCTTTTGGCTGTGCTAAGGAATCGTGTTATTAAATCAGTGTGTACTTAGCCAATGTCTGCAGGAAATAGAGGGAATAGTTTCCAATTTGCATCTTAGTTATTACTGTGGAATCTGCCTGCACACCAGCAAAATAAAATAGTCTCATACTGTTTTACTGGGTTTGAGTCATGTAATTGCTGAATTGAAGTGGCCAAGAATTTGCCAAATCAGGGTACTAATTGGCAATTATGAATATGGAGATTTTCAAAGGATGAGGTGCATAATTGTCTCCACATTAAAAGAGAATCTTGCATTATTCAAATAGACACCAGTAAATCTTGGTAAAGCTAGAGACATCAAGGAGTTATGCTTTCTACATTATTTAAGCTTCCTCAGAAGCCTGAGCCTCTAGGTACTAAGATCAGAGAGAATTGGAACATATAATCACATAGAGCCCATCCTCTTTTCCACCTGAAGACTGCTTAGTGCTTAACAAACATAAATTTCACTTTCAAAAACTCATGTCTCTAAATAAGGAAATACCATATTTTTCATAGACCGGAAAAAAGGTAGTGAAGGAAAAGGGATAATTAATGCCAAAAGGCACATTGGCGTACATACTCCAAGAAACGTGGGACTCATGACTTTTCAGGGCAGCTCAGATTATCAGAGTACATCAAAAGTTCTTCATCACACCAAGGCACCACTGACCTTGACTCCAGTTCAGGACACTGAGACACATCAGTCCTTCGAGTACTCGAATCCATAGGAACTTATCTCCAAGTAGCTTCTTAGGATTAAATAGCCTTTGTTCCTTTGATGTTCTTCATGTGACACCCCTTATTATCTCTGTGACATCATGCTTTGAAAATGCTGAGCTCAGCAGAGAACATCAGTGGAGAGAGGACAGAGGCCAAGAATATAGACTCTGGAACCTGGTCTCTGTCTCAACTCTGTGACCTTGGAAAAATTACCTAGGCTCCCTGTGTCTCATCATTTATAAGATGGGACTAATAATAGGTAAAATGAGATTATCGATACATATAAAGTGCTTAGAACAACGCCAGTGAGAAACATTCAATATATGCTCAATATTATAGTTATTCTTTGTGGAAACCCAAAATATAAAGAATTGAAGCCCCATAACAGAAGCTGACATGCTTAAATCACACAGCAGGAGTTCCATAAATTCTTTATGACTGACTGACTGTTTGGTTCTGAGGGTAATAGACCCTGGGGGCAAAATTACAATAGCAATAATTCAATGCACTTACCTCAATTACTATTTATTGAGCATCTATGTTTTGGTTGCTAGATCCTAAAGACACAGAGATGAATCAGATATTGACCTGCCCTCAAAAAATGCATGCTCAAGTAGGAGAAACACCGACAAGTACAATGTAGTGTGATAAGGATGGTAGCAGATACATGCTCAAGGAATAGTCTTCCTTCCTGACTTATTTTCCCAGTTTATCCAGAATAATTTTCTTGGACTTAGAGGTTAATTCTGCCTTGGTGAAGAGGGATGACTCCACAAAAGAGACATATGTCTGGGTATTAAATGAACAAATAGCAATTTGTCAGGACAAGAGGGTGACAGACATTGTAGCTATTCATGTCCAAGGTGGCCACCATCAATTCTTACCCTCTCTAGATAGGTAAGGGAATCTCACATTGAGAAATGGGGTCTACTTGTCCAACCCTTTGAATCTGGCTGGCTTATGACTGCTTTGACCAAAAGAAAATGGCAGAAATGATGCTGACAGAATTCCAAAGCTAGGTCATAAGAAGCCTGTAAATTCCTCCTGGGTCTCTTAAAATGCACACTCATTGGGAAGACAGATGCCATGTTAAGGAGTTCAACTTCCCTGAGATGGCCATGCTATAAGAAGCCCAAGTAACAAGAGGTCACGTGGAAGGAGGAAGAGTAATGCCTAGCCAGGCTGAGCCAGTCCAGCCATCCTGGCCCAGGTTCCATGGCAGGCATGAATAAAAGAGCCATCAGATGACTGTGGCCTCAGCCATCATCTGACTTCAATGACAGGAGGGACCCCAGGTAAAAACCATTCAACTAAGCCTGTGTCAATAATACATGATTGTTTTAAGCCACTAAGTTTTGGGTTGGTTTGTTACACAGCAATAGATATATCTAGCAGTAGATTCTAGATATATGTCAAAAAATGTGCAAAGGCATGGAGGTGTGAAATTCCACAGTAATTCAGGGTTCTGTAAATGCAGTCGATATGGAAGGAACTTAAAGTGTAGTAGAGAAGGGTGAAGGCTAGAAGAAAGACAAATTTGGAAAGGTCAGCAAGAGCCAGACCATAGAGCAACTTGTATGCATGCCAACAAGCTCTGACTTCACTCTCTAGATAATGGGAGTCACTGAAGGGTTTTACACAAGGCAGTGACTTGGTCAAATGTGATTTCATAAAGAGCATTCTTGCTGAGGATTAGAACGGGGACAAATTGGAGGCCTGAAGACCAGTTGCGAGACAGCTGACATGGTCAAAGTGAAAGATTCCAAGGAGAGAGCACATTCTAAAGGCAATGGAGGGAAGGGGCAGGTTAAAGGAAAGGTGCAAATGATGGTGTTACCAGGGACACATTTGGGGCCGCTTTTCCCCTCAGGGTGATGACATGTTGAGGCTGAGCTCTTCCCACTTGCCAGTGTGATTTCTCCTTCTGGTTGATGCCACATGCTTGTCAAGTGGTCCTCTGTGCTTAGGAAAGTACAGTTATGTCCACAGAACTAAACAAAGCCAATAGACACAGGAAGGCTAAACTCATGAACGCTGACATAATCGAGCCTGCCAGCCTCAATGCTAAGTAAAGCCCCAAGGCCTGTGGGTAATGACATCATAACTGCCTCAGGAAACAGAATGAAGCATTGGTGCTGATATGGGGATGGTCCTCATTGGTTCCAGAGCTTCTGTGGCAGATACCTAGATTCCAGGCAGATAAGGAGTAAACACTCCTCCAGCCCCAAAATCTCCAAATAAGTTTCCATTCTTCCACACAATTTTTTAACCAACCTGCTTCCCTTCAAACAGGTGCACACTATAATAGTTTCCATAAAGGAAAACACTCACTCTGTTAGTTTTCCAAGCTGCGCTCAGCTATACTCAGGCCGATTGGTCTACTCAGCGGCCTCCTGGATTACAGGGACAGGCCAAATCAGAGAGGGGATATTTGTCTAAAGTTAAGCAGAGAGCAGATTTATGACCCAGAAGGAAAAGAACTCTCCTGAAGGAGAGTCTGCATTATTTATTCTTTTTGCCTTTATTCAATAGAAATGCACCAATTTACCCAGCGGCCTCTGGGAGCAGGTCCAGAGCACAAATACAATAATAGCATCAAATAAGAAGCAGGAGATTCAAAGGCAAAATCTTCCACAAGGGAAATTGAGGAGAACCAAAGGAGTCTGTGGAACTGAGCAGCTGTCATCCAGGATGCCAGGTTTAATGGATGCTTTCCTAAGCTAGCACTATGAGGTATCACAGACACACAGACACACAGACACACACAGACACACACAGACACACACACAGATACACACACTCAGTGATCCACTGTGCTGCCCTGCCTGCCATCTGCCACCCTGCATTCCTTCTCTTTCTCCAAGAGGAATGCTAGACCTCCAATGAGGGAGCTTGATCAGATATGCTGTGAGACCTACACTCACATTAAGCTCTGCTCCTCTTAATTCTACCTGGTGACAAGTATGCAGGAGCTCAGAATTCTAGGCATTGGGCCAGTGCAAGAATTAATTAGGAGGACTGACTCTGCTCAAAATAAACTTTAGATCAAATAAACCAACTCGTAGCCAAACTGACTGGATTTGAATCCTGGCTCTGTCATCTCCTGTCTCTGTGATTCTGGGTAAATTATTTAATTTCCCCATGCCTCAATTTCCTCATTCGTAATGTGGTGATACTAATAACTGACTTACAGAATTACGATTGTTAGCACTAATGCAGTAGAGATCGTGGCATAGGTACTCCACGAAGGGGCCAGAAGGCAAGGACAGGCCGGTACTGAGTAGGGCACAAGGCGGGATTTGCTAAGAATGTGCTCTCTCCTTGGAATCTTTAACTCTGTGTTAGGACTGTAGCCTCAAGAGAGTCCTAACAGAGTTAAATAGAATGAGAGTCCAAGAAAATAATTCTGAAGATACTGGGAAAATGAGTCAGGAGAAAAGAAAAAATTAAGATATATGAGACTCAAAGCTACCTAGAATTCCCTACAGCATCTCAGTCTGAAAGCATGCCAGATCACTAGACCCTTGGAAAGGACATTTAGACACAGTCACAAGCCTAAGAGTTACACACAGACACAGATAAGGGGGTTAGAAGCAGACAAGGGAAGAAGAGAGGTGCCATGATAATTACCTTGAGGGATAAAGTGAAATGCAGCAGGTGAGCAAACTGATTAGAGGCATTTAAAGTGAGAAAAAAAAGTTCAAAATCTTATACTCTGTTTCTAAAGGAAATGGGGAAAACAGGCACTAGAGAGAAAGCCGCCAAAAACACAGCTGGGCAGAAGGGGAATTAAATGAGCCTCTTCAAAAGGTCAGGACAGTGATGGAAGGTTTTCCTTCTTCTGCCTTTATTTTGTGAGATGCGTGTGCCTGAAGGGAGGGGTGCCTCTTGAGCTAGTTGTGGTTAATCACATGAAGAGCAGCAGTGCGAGGATGCTGAGCAGGGACAAATGAGGCAGGCAGGAATGACAGGCCCCTGGGGCATCCAGGGGATTATCTAGGGTTCTGTGGGACCACTTCCAGGGATGCACTGAAAAGGCAGCTCTCCGGGGAGAAAAGCAGACTCTTGAAGTTTATGGGGACTGCATTTGGAAGGAAGGAAGAAGCAGGGCTGGAGCTGCTGTCTAGTCCCTAAGTCCTGCACCAGTGAAGGGCCATGTGATTAAGGGGGATTATAGACTCTCCTGTTTCCTGACATTTAGTGATCTGGAAAAAGCATTTCATTAGAAGTCAGGAGATCAGGGTCTAGTCTATGACCTTTGGCAAGTTTCCTGGGAGGGCTAGGAGGGGAACATTCATTGAGAGATTTGTTATGCTAGGTAGTTATTACTCAACAACCTTACATGCATTACCGCATTCGGTCCCTTACTGACCCTGTGAAGTAGGTATTAATACTTGCTTTTTTACGAGATGTGGTGGACTATGTGCAAAGATAGCTAGAATTATACCCCACCCTTGGGTATTCCCTTTCTCCACTAACCCTGGGCTTAGCCTTGGAACTTGCTTTGGTCAATGGGTCAACAGCAAGTGTGACACATGCAGAGACTTGAAAATCACTTGCGCATAAGGGTTTATGTGTTCTTGCTGTACTTGGAACCCTTCTGTCACCGTGCAAACAAACTCCCAGCTAGACCACTGGACAAGGAAAGACACATGGCCAAATCATCACCAATGCCCCAAGTGACATGGCATGCGAGTGTGGCCATTATAAACCATCTGGCCAAGTCACCCAGAAGACCATGTGAGCCCAGCAAAGGTCAACCATGTTGGTCTAGACCAGAATAATGGCCTTGCAAAACCTATAGAATCTTTTGAGAAATAATAAATATCTTTATTTTAGATCACTGAATTTTTTCCCCCTCTTTAATTCCCCACCCCCTTGCCCACTTCCACCCCTTACCCATGAGTGTTGCCATTTCCCCTTAAGAACTGGATTTCTGAAGGCGAGGCGTCCCTTCTCACACACTCGTGGTGTGCACCTGGGGCCTGGCGCACTTGGGGGCCTGGCGCATCAGGGGGGTGTGGCGCATCTGGGGTATGGTCTGTGGCTTCACCTGGGGCGCGAACCCAGGACCTTCTGCGTGCAAAGCAGACGTGCTAACCACTACACTATGGAGCCACCCTAGATCACTGAATTTTTGAGTGGTTTGTTACACAGCAAAACTAACTGATACGTGAGGGGACTGTGTAATTGGAGAATTACACAGTTAAGAATTTCACCATATTGTGCCTCTTTCTTAGACTTCAATTCCCTCACCTCTAAAATGAGGGCAACGAGTGAGAGCATCCTGCTCCCTTCTTGGAGCTTGGAAGAGATGAGAAAATTACATAAGTCTGATATAAACATCAGGCTTCATTCTCATTCCCTACCGTTTTTTCTTATTCATACCTGAAATACATGGTTTGGATCTTCCAGCACCACCTCTTGGAGAATGTCTCCTGTAGGCCTTCCCTAGGCTACTTCCAGGACTTATAGTAACAATCCCTTTCCAACTCAAATGCTCACTTTACACCAGGGAATACAAAGCAGCCTGCCTACCATCTGTCTTCTCCATCGTAAGGAATGCTGACCGTCAGTCTCTCAGGCACTCTTCATCCAATAAGTCTGTAAAATCTGTCAGACAGTTCTGAAAGAAAGGATAGAAAATTGGAAAGTCTTATTAGAGTTAGAATAAGTATGGAGGGATCATAGCACCAAAGAAAGTAAAACCCATCTCTACCTTTCTCCCGGGGCACCTATGAGCTCATACCTCTCCAAGGAGGAATAGTAAAAGCCTGTATGCACTTCTGGAGTCCAAACCTGGGCGTGCCTTCATGGAATGTTAGCAATTGCTGTCACCAAAGAAAGCATTTGGTTCAACCCTCTCACTTGACACATGAGGAAACTGAGACTTGGAAGTTAACTGCTTGGTGCAAGGCCTCTCATCATATTAGCGAAGGAGCTGGGACCAGGCCCAGGGCCCTGATAACCAGCATATAACATCAAGAGCTGAAATCTACTCATCCCCATCATAGTAAAAGAATTACAACCCATTTGGTAAAGAAGCCGCAATCACAGTACCTACAAATGATCTATGACATCCCAATCAGATTCAAGACAAAGATGAGATAATTGCAAGTATAGACTAGGAGCCAACACTTTGAGGCAATTTCCAACTATGGGCAGAACAAGGGGAAGTTCAACCTAGGTGGCCAGAAGGCATCAGTAAATACTCAGGCAGCATATTGTCCCGACTCTAAATTAGGGTACCTTCAAGTTTGATCATAAATTCTCCCCAAAGTTTTAATCTATTCCCAGGACTCTTTCTTCAGATGGTAAACAACCTGTCTTCTGCCCTCATTACAATAAATCGCCCAGGAAATTGTTTTTTGGGAGGATTGTAACTCCATATACATCAGAATAATTAATTATCTATGGCATATCAGCGGTAGAAATGGCATTATTTTAGGAATTTCAATGTGCTTGAACTCAGACGAGAAAAGTGTACCAGAGATGAAGAAAGGATTAGGGGAAAATGGGAGTGAGAGAAGGATGAGCAACTCAGGATGGAAAAAAAAGAGGAACAAACTACACTGGAGAAGAGGGCCAGGAATTATCAAGCCTGCCAAATAAGGAAGTCTAAAGTTTTCCCAACAGAAAGTTTTGTGTACCCTCTTTCTATCAGTGCTGCCTCCCAAGCCATTCGCCCTGCTCTTGGCCTTCACTTCTCCAAAATGTGTTCCTAGAAGCGGTCAGAGGGGTGTTTCCCTATGCAGGTATGACGGAGGCCAGAAGGGCAGGCAGGGTTTCTATAGGCAAAGACACTCCTTGCAGAGGGAACACCAGCACTGAGCACCTCACTTACCTTTAAGGCGGAAAGGATTTGAGTTTGGGGCCAACGTAAAGCTGCAGTAGAGGAGGTTCTAACTTAGAGTGAGGGAGGATCACATTTGTTAGAAAGAGAAGGTTCTGAAACAAACCTAAGAGTCCATCGACTGATGAATGGATAAAGAAAATGTGGTATATATATACACAATGCAATATTGTTCAGCCATAAAAAAGAAGGACATTTTGTCATTTGTAACCATATGGATAGACCTTAAGGGCATTATGCTAAATGAAATAAATCAGAGGAAGACAAATACTGTATGAACTCATTTATGTATGGAATCTGAAAACAAGCAAAATCGAGCTCATAGATACAGAGAACGAATTGGTAATTGCCAGAAGTGGGAGGAGGGAGATGGGTGAAATGGGTGAAAATAGTCAAAAGGTACACATTTCCAGTTATAAGATAAATAAGTCCTGGGTATGTAATGTACGACATGGTGACTATAGTTAATAATGTTTTATTGCATATTTGAAAGTTGCTTTGACAGTAGATCTTAAGAGTTCTCATCACAAGAAAATAAAATTTGCAACTATGTGTGGTGATGGATGTTAACTAAACTACTAAGATAATGATTTTGTAATCTATACATATATCAAATAATTATGTTGTATACCTAAAACTAATATAATAAGTTCTCTGCCAATTATATCTAAATTTTAAAAATAAATATAATAATTTTTTTAAAAAAAATAAAAGGAAGAGAAGATTCCCAGGCAAGGACACTGGCAGGTCCATAGGCTGCAGTCGGTGGTGGAACTTCCCAGAGGCTGGTGGGCAGGAGACGATCGGCAGCTTCGAGCTGAAGCCTGGGAAGGAAAACAGTGAGGACAGAAATCCTAACTTTGGCCCCTCGGCCCGTTTCTCCATCATCATGGCCTCTCCTCTCCCTTTAGCCCTCCTCTTCCTCCCACCCCATAACATTACTGAGCAACAGAAGCCCTTGACATAACCAAGTTATCTCATGCAATCCACACCCTCACCCCAGGAGGATTATTATTGTCCTCATTTTTCTGATAGGGAGGCTGAGGCTGAGAGGATACAGCCCTGCCTAAAGTCACCTAACAAACAAGAGTTGGAACAGAATTTGCCCTCAAGTCTAGCCCACTCTAAGCCTGTGCTAGAACAAAAGCGAACATTTGTCCATCTTTATAAATCAGCCTGATGCCATGGCTGATTCCTAGCTCTGCTTGTAAGGGGAAACATTCCTGACCCTCACGCTTCTCTGCTTCTCCCAAAAGTGTATATGAAGCGCCTTCTGAGCATGGAGAACCTCCTGGGCATATAATCTGCTTCTCCAGGGCTGGACACTGAGCAATAAGGCTCCTCCCAAGCAAGAGGAGGGCCACCTGGTTGCAGGTGGACCTTTGGTGGCACAAACTTTCATCATCACCTCGGAGAGATCAATATATATATATATCTTGATTTATATATATCAGATCAAAGGGCTTCCAACAATTATGCCACACGCATTAGGTCAAGTTTTATTTAAAAAAAAACTATAGAGACCTCTAATAGTTCTCTTAGACTTGAATTTTACTAAAATTAATCATTCCAAGGCTACAGAAATTAAATAGACCTGACACCCAACTCTTTGAATAAGAGGAATCCGCACGCATTCCCTCTAAAGGGCTCTGAGTACAAGAAGGAAAAAAGGGAAATGTCATGCCCACATCATGCCACTTCTGGTCCCCACTCACCTCAGGCTTCTCCACTTTGGCGCGTGATCCTTATGGCGGACACCTTGGAATTTAGCTAAGGGGGTTTTCTTTGAGTGGGTAGATGTTTGATGTGGTTGGGTAAGTGGAACCAAGGAACAATTGCCACATCAACACATGCTACTTTGTTTGCAATACAACAGAATATAAAAAATAGCTTTGTTGGACAGAATTCTTTTTTTAAAATAGAATTTTGCAATCTTCTGGAACATTTTAAATTTTGACATAATATAATTTATTACTCGTTCTATTAAGTTGTATCCCCAGTGTTCAGAACCTTGTAATACCAGGTGTTGTTATGTAACTTTTCATCTGTTTATCTCAGGATCAAGGATGCCCAGTTAGGTCCCAACCTCTCTCATTAGCTCATCATTCTAGATGTTTTGAGTATACACAGCTTTATCTCTCTCTCTCTGGCTCTCCTCCCATACTAATCTGTAAGCTTGTGAAGGTCAAAATTCCTACAGGACACATTTCTGTCTCTCCCCACCCTCAACCCTCCCTGTATCTTAACGTGGCAGTCAATCAGTCCAGGGTATCATCTCCAAGTTACAAATGAGGAAACAAAGGCACGAAGAGGTTATGTGGCCCATACAAAGTTACCCAGTTAATTAGGGGCAGGAAAGTTTGTGTGACTCTATCACTCCACCCTGCGTCTCAAAGCCAAAGGGCAGTAAAGAGGTGAGGACTGAGGCTATCCTTTCAAAAACCCACTAAGGAGGCAGTCACTGGCAAACAGCGGCGATAGCCTCATGTGTAACACCCAGGCCACGTTACAAACGGTTCCAGCAGTGTCCATGCCCAGGAGCATGGATTTCCCTGGGTCAGCCCGACTCCTGCAGTATACACTCACACCCTCTTCCTCGCCACATTGATTCCTTTTATGATGCCATTCCCATCTCATTTCTAACCTCGAATCTGAATTCAAAAAAACCTTCCTTTACTTAGTCTTGAAACTGAAACCTAGTTCTGTACTTTTGTTTTCTTTAAACCTCCTTTTATTCTGCAATAATAAAATTGCTGTATTTCATCCCAGAACAGGCTGCATGCCAAAATAAATAGCACCTTGGATTTCCTTGAAAAGAAAGCTTGGCTCAAAGCACAGCTTTACTGCCATGAGAATCCTTGGAGAATTCAACCTTACAAAGTCAAATATTTAGCAAGGTAGCGCACCAAACGGCGACCCTGTCAATCCATGCATAATCACTTGCAAAGATAAAGCGCTCTTTCCAAAAGAGAAAAAAAAATTTACCAGTATCTCGTACCGATCCTGCCAAAATGAGAGGAGCTTCCCATTTCCCCATTCCAGGACCAGGCGCCTCCAAGTGTAAATGTTCCCTGCGCTAAGAAGCAGGAGGCATCTGGCAGCGCTGCTAACCATTGAGAGGGCTGCAGCCCAGTCGCGGGGGGAGGTGAGACGCACTCCCGAAAAAGATTCTGCCAACTGAGTTCTCCAGCCGGCTCACTTCCTACAAACCCCGGGAAACAAAGAGATAACTCAAGCTCAATAAATGACACATTAACACAATCTCATTAACTCCATTCCCACATTTTTCTGTGAGTGTCTGTCAGTTTTGCCTGCATTGCAGCAGCTGAATCTGGAGCTTCATGAAGAAGAGAAAACTGTCACGAGGAAAGCCACGGCCACATTACCTTCTTTTGGCATCCTCCTCCTGCCATAGCGTGGAACAGGAGTCTCACAGAAAGCGAGGTTCGGGCTGCTAACCCAGCCGATTGCTCCTGAGTTCAGCACAGCAGCACTGGCTTCCCAGCTGTTAAAGGATTTTAGTCAGGTGATCTGTGACCTTGCTGGAAAAGCAAATACTGACTTCCTTTTAGATCCAAGGAAAAGGAGAGTGGGGTCAGGAAGGAATTCAACACTCAATGAGCTGATATTGGATCTTGCAAAAAAAAAAAAAAAAAAAAAAAAAA